AAAGCGAGGGAATGCGATAGCATCTATTTGGATTTGTATTGGGAGTGGGGTGCTAAATAATTCCATTGATGAAAAAAGCAGAGAATCCACTAAATAGGACCTCTTTGTTGGTGGGTCGACCTCCAACAATGGACGAGCCGGCAACCAAGTAAGGGGTCATTTGCATGTGTTAGCCCGAAAGCCACGATCAAGATAAAAAAAATCCAAGGGAAACGATGTGAAACCTGCAAAACGGGACCTTAGTTAGTCCCACTGATCGCCGCGCAAGGGAAGTCTTCACATGTGAACGCATTGTTCTATCTCTCTGCTAAAACGACAAGACATCGATGATGAGGGACTGCTGGGGTAGGCAATGGGCGGTCGTGGACAGCTGCGAAGGGAACTCACTGCCGCGATAAGGCCCTGGTGGGCTGATAAATGTAAACATTTTGCAGTAAACGCACCTTGTTGCGTTCCCTTGAAATACCTCCCTCCTTCTATATTAGGAATGCTCCTCTTCTTCGACCTCGCTCACCGTACCGCTTGCTTTTAAGACATTTATGCCAGCGCGCTGTCTCACCTCACATTCATTGATCTGGGTGAACACAAAACATGGTTATCACGAAATAACTTTCAGTAGTAGTCAAAGAGTTTAGGTTACTTCCAGGAGCAATATCAGTCTACTGACTCCGTTTCGGGAAGTGCCTACGCTGAGAAGGGGTCAACTGTAGCTGTCCAAAAGTTTACGCAGTTCCACACCATTTGCGCGGGGCTCCCTAACCTCGCTTAACAAAACAGACTCTCTGGATCTCTTCAGTAGTGGCAGTACTGTCCTGGCCAGATTGGGTAAAATATGTTGCCTCCAGAAAGATTTTCACCTACTGTGACAAAAGTTCAAAATAAGCTCGTTGATTACAAGCTAATTAACGGCTCGATAACATTAAGGTTTCTCCCATGTCCGAAGAGGACTACTTTGTTCGTGTTACCAAACTCAAGCTGGATTACAAGGATAAGGATACCGGCAAGGATGCTTCTTCAATTGTCCACCATTATCAATGGGAAAATTGGCCGGATCGAGGTGTTCCTCAATCAAAGTTCACAGCAATTGTAAGTTTTCACATCTTAGTTGAGATGAAACTTTCCTACCAGATCATAAATTTGGACGATATGGGATGATTTAGTGAGATATGACGTGTGCCGTTGTGGTCGGTGTGAACCTCGACTCACTTGACACTGCCGACGTCATGAAAGATCTTTGGGGGGGGGGGGTGGGAAGGGAAGGGGAGGGGATATTGGGGGGGGGGGATTGTGAGTTTTTAAAATCGGTCACACGGCATAGGCGATCTACTCACCGTGTTCAGTCATCGATAGCATCATGCACCCAACTGCGCCCGTCTCTGCTTGGATCTATATCCTCCGTGCCTGGAGGTTGTATGTATGGGTAGCTGCACACATTGCAGCAACAAACCCCCTTGAAAAACCCCGTTAAGGCCCCGGGGCGTTCGGTTTCAATCCAGGGCCGCCTGGTCAATCCAGGACCGCCCACCTCCGGAAGTGGTGCGTGGCTGGCATAACGTGTGAAATCAGCTAGGTTGATTGCCGTATCAACCGATAGAACGACTGACTCTTTCCCAAGCCAGCCTCCTTCACTGCTAGTGGGGAAAGAGGGTTTTGTTAACGGCCTTGTCGACGGTTTTTCTCAGTTTTTCTCCACTGTCGTTCCACTTCGCATCTCTATACTCAGTTTCAATCGCCATAATACCCCCTTATTGAGCCCGACTTTTGCCTTTTAAGCGTGTTACGTCGCACAAGAAGCACCGCTCATCTCGCGCCGCAGATAGTGTACCTCAACAGGGAATTCTAAATAATCTCTATTTAGCAACTATTCTTAACTAGTTTACTCTGAAAAATTAGAAAGAAGAATGGCGAAATCAACTACTTACAAATTCATTTTGTATTGAACCTGGTCGTTGAGTGCGAATCTCCTTCAATAGATCGCTCATTGCCAGGCAATCTTCCTAGAATGTCCCATTCAGTTCTGACAATTAAGCTATGAAATGGTGAAGAGAACTAACGCCGTTCTGCATTTTCTCGGTCACATAGGAAATGGCAACAATTGTT